TACCACCACCCCGCCTATTTCCGCCGTGAAGCAGTAATGCGTTTCGGTTCGAAGGGTGGGGTAGCCGTTGTAACTATACTGAGACCTTAGAACTTATATCTCGAGGTGGGTGGCGCATTTACGTTGTAGATGTCTATGGGCTCCAGTAACCACTTAACACCAGGTGGGCTGTGAGCTCGTCCATCCATCTAAGCAATAAATAAAAAAAAAACACTTTTTTTTTATATAAAAGCTAATAGATACTTTTATTAAATTTCGACGCTATTGACTACTTCGAAATTTAACAAGATGCATAGGTATTTAAATATTTGAATATAATTATTATAATGAGAGGTAAAATAATATATGATAAGGGGGTTTTGAGTAGAACAGTATATAAATATAATATATAACTTTATACGTAAATGAAAGCAACTAAGATTGTAAATGGTTAATATAATGTTTTGTAAAATTGTAAATAGAATATAAATGTAATTTTTTTTTTTTTATAATAAATGTAAAACACAGTTCATTAAATTATATTTAAGTGTTATTAAATTTTTTGAGGCTATGAATAATTTCATTTATATGTATCATAAATTTATTCAATGTTAGAAGAACTTATTCTAAAATTAACCTAACTCTATTCACTGAAAAGGTACAAGAAAAAAAAAACCTTAAACACTCGACTCTGAGTTCTTTGAGTTACTAATACATTTCTTTGCCTACGCCCGTCCTTAGTTCCTTATCGCACCATCCTCATTTATTCTTATTCAGATTATAATACACGTCATATAGCATAGGTCCATGGTAAATACCCCAAAGTATTAAATATCTTTGTCTAGTCCCAAATCCAGTATAAGTTGAACCATTTTGCGTGGACAAAGAATGTGCTCTCAAAAGGATTAATATCTTGCTGTCAAAATCACATAATGCTTCTATTTTCTTATTTATAATATATATTCCCAGTGCAATTGTATTGATATGAAATTTGTAACCTTATTTACCCAAACCGTAAAATGTTTCTATAAAAATAATTTCGAAAGCTTGTAAAATATCAAAATGTCTCATTTCAAAATTGTTATAAATTTCATTATATAATTTATTAATAATAATATAATAATAATAAGCCATTTATTTCTTGCGTTACAAAGTTTAAAAAAATATATAATATATATAAATGTATGTATTAGTATTTAGGATGTAAAAGAGTTTTGTAATGAATCAGTAAAATTTAATTAGCAAGAACCCCGGATCGGGTAAAGGCCTCCTCCAAAGAAAGAAATATCATTTATTATTATAACAAAACTTTTCCTGATTTCCTATTTCTAAGATATCAATGGAAATTCAGCTGTTTTAGATCTTACGTTCTCCAACCATATCAACCCAAAGATATCTAGGTTTGCTGTCGTCAACTAGTATAAAGGCGATCATAAATTTTGGTAGTAACGCGCAAAAAAGGGAGGCTACGAAAGATTTACCGTCCGAATGTATCCGTCGTTATCGGCCTTTTGTTTTCGATTCTTATACGAAACGGTCCAAGCTCAAATGGGTAACCAAGTCTGTATATGTATACAGCCATCCAAGACATGAGCGCTTGCTGACTCTGACCTAATATTCAAATGTTTTTACTTAACTTCTTGTGTCAGCTTTACTTGAGATACTTTACGGGCAAGCTTTCCAGAGGAACTATTAGCGTTAACTTTCCTTTTTGCTTACATACTATTTTCATTTTCTAGGTGTAGTAGTTTCCCGGTATTCTAATCTTCTATTATTTATGTATTATCTCTGGTTCGATTTATCGTTTTGTTATGTGTTAGTCTATTGGGATCAAATTACGTAATTGATTTATGATCACATGTCCGATGCGAAAAAAAAACCTTCAAAAATGGAACAGGGACTGGACGATTGCATCATTACAGAAATAAGAAGAACATTTCTACTTATAGTAATTTGGAATGTATATATGTATATATTTGTGTGTGTTTCAATTCTTTTGATATCGTCGGTAGATTTTAGCTTTGATATGTCCACGCCCTGACTAAAGCATTCAGAATAGAGACGGCGTTTGAACATTTTTTCCTTGTTTATGTTAACGTAAGTGCCTTTTGTAATTTTCGTTGAGGGAAATATTATTTGGCTGCGTTTGCTTTTGAGCGATTTGTGATTATTGATTATTGGCCTCTACAATAAACTTATATAATTTATGAGTTTGTTTTTTTAAATATAGCTTTCTTAACTAATTTTCATTTTTAAGCATATGTTTGTACGGGTATAGGATAGATACATTTTTCAATAAGCATTATTATACTCTTAAATAGAACCCCGCTAAAAGTACTGGTAATATCTTGTTAAATTGTCAATACGGCATTTCTGTAAACATCCGTTGTGCTGTGCTTTTCAAACTTACAATAGCATCCATCTAATTCTAATAAAATAAATGCGTTATCTATATTCTGGCAACACCATTTCAATTACGTTATTTTAAAAGATCACTTTAAAACGGGTGCTAAATTAGTAAAATTTAAAACAGAACTCAGTAAGCCCACAAAAGCTTTTAAAAAATATCGTTGGTTTGTTTGTCTTGTTTATATTCGTTCAAATGTGACTCACAAAGTCTGCATTCATGAGCACAATGAAACTTTGTTTCCAAACATAAAATCTAATTACATAAAGTGACAACTGAGAGAGCACCAATGTCTTCATATGAAACAAAATACTACGACCTAATTTAAACTTTATTTGTTTGACAAGTGGAGCTACAGTTGTTCAGCTGGTGATACGGGCGGATGCTAAATACAATGATTAGTTTTGTCGTATCTGGAACGTTAGCGCCTCATAGTGCCAACAATGGTAGGTTTAATTTTTTTACTGGAATTCTTTGCTTCTTTTAACCGAAATTAATAATTTTTTTGTGTTGATTTTTTAAGCATTTTTTTTAAAATTATTATTCGTTTTGCTATATAGGCCATATATTACCAAATACCCTCTTTTTCTTAAAAAATAAATTATAAGCATCTAAGCACTTGCTCAATTGTGACCAGAAGATTTGAGAGTTGGCCGATTGATTTATAGAGGAAAAAGCAATTTAGATTTAACTAGAAAACTAAAATTGTACTATGAATTCTTTGTAGAATACTTGCTCACATCGCGCATGAGAATGTTTTGCATAAAGCCTCGACTTATGCAGAAATATCAAAGAAGTCATAAAAAGAGTTTATGATATCCGCATGCGTGAAAGAAGCGTGTGTCGTAGAATTCGGCGAATAAAAAAAAACAATTACTTGATTATTGTTGTCTTCGGTTGTGCTTCAAAGAGTTGTAAAAAAAATAACAAATTCATTTGTAACTTATTGAATGATTCGTTCGGTTCAATTGACGGAATAACTGGCCACTTGTTTGTTACTTTTATCGAGGGTGATTATTTTCTGGAGTGTGTAAATAAATGATCAACTTGTTACTAAGCTGATTTAGTTAAACACCGAAAATAAACTCTGCCTTTTATTTTTTTTATTGCTTAGATGTGTGGACGAGCTCACAGCCCACCTAATGTTAAGTGGTTACTGGAGCCCATAGACATCCACAACGTAAATGCGTGTACATTAACGTGTACGTAAATTAACGTGTACACAACGTAAACATTTACGTTGTAGATGTCTATGGGCTCCAGTAACCACTTAACACCAGGTGGGCTGTGAGCTCGTCCACTCATCTAAGCAATAAAAAAAAAATAAAAAAAATGCGCCATCCACCCTGAGATATAAGTTCTAAGGTCTCAAGCTTAGTTACAACGGCTGCCCCACCCTTCAAACCGAAACGCATCACTGCTTCACGGCAGAAATAGGCAGGGTGGTGGTACCCACCCGCGCGGACTCACAAGAGGTCTTACCACCAGTAAAGTAGCCTATAACTGGGTCGGTCTGTGGCACTGAAGACAAAACAGAAGTTGGCAGTAATAATTGCCTCGATAAAATGGCAGTACTATCTTTTGATTCAGAAAGCACAAGGGTTGTGCGGCCGATTTTAATCGTCACATTATAGCACTACTAACTGTTTACAGAATAGGTACTAGCCCGCTGAGTTTCTCGCCGGATCTTCTCAGATGGTCGCGATTCCAATCTGGTAGTAGATTCATTCGCGAAGCAGCTGTTCTTGAGTTATTAGACCTTCTTTGGAGGCGCTCTGGTAGCTGTTAGCAAATCCCAGCCCTCCTGGCTGAGCTCGTACTCGCCCACCTGTCTTGGTGAAACTGAAAAGGCCTCCGGACCACAAGTAATCCTTCAATAAAAAAGGTATAGGTACTATTAGGGATTAGGAATTTAGGAGCCACGTAGGAGGTTAGGCAGAATCTGTGTTGTAATTCTGATCATTGTTGTTAGTTATGAGCGATGGTGACATCCATCAGAAGGCCGGTTGTAGACTGGTTTGACTTCGAAGGCATTAAAAAATTTAGCATACTAATAAATGATGGAAAAGAAATATCTGTTTTGGAAAAGAAGTCTGAGTTATTATTACGATTAATATTCTGGATACCTTGTGTAGTTTTCTTAGTGCTTGGATGGTTGGACGAGCTCACGATCCACCCAGTGGTTACCAGTGCCCATAGATGTCAAAAATGTAAAAAAGGCCGCCCGCTTTGAGACATGAGTTTTAAGTCTCCGTAAAAACGGAGACTGAATCGCGTGCCCTGCGAAAACTATTGATGATCGAATAAAATAATGTCCTACGACTTTGTAGAACTCATTGTTTACAAAAAGTGTCGCGACAGCATAATATGTCTAACTATTATAGTTATGCCGCAATAAGTGTTCTTTTATTTAAAAAAATAAAACAACGTAAAATATCGTTGAAATTTTTGTTAAAGACCCGAGCGGAGCCGGAGCGGGCCGCTAGTTACTGGTAAATCTAAAAGAAACTTCTCACGCATATTTTTCTTGAGTTCTGTACAACAAGCAAGACATAATTTCAACTAGCGTAATCCGTCGATACAAAATACCAAACGAGATTCTTTATTGTTTCAGACACCGAAGCGGAAAGTTCAGTCGCCTTTATTCTTCCGCGCTAAAGACATAGCTTGTTCCGGAGCAAAACTTTGCCATGTGCAGTCAAGTGAAAGTGTTTAGTGAACTGTGCGCTAACTGACGCCTGTATCGAGTGAAGATGGAGCGGAAAACAGGCCTGCTTGTTGTACTGTGGGTCGCGATCTTCCCTTTGTACAAGGCTGATAACCTCGGTGAGTAATAGTGAATACATTTGCAGGAAATTGGATACGGCATTGCATGATAGAAAAACACTAGACCATATTATTTGAGCGTTCGAAGTCGTCATGGCCTAAAAGATAAGACGCCCGGTGCATTCGTGTCTATCGAAGTGTACCGATGTTCGACTCCCGTAAGCAGGTACCAATTTTTATAATGTACTAGCTGACCCGGCAGACTTTGTAATGCCTCAATCTATAAATAAAAGACCTAAGCTTTTGTATAAAATAAACTTACAACAAACAAAAGGAATCCGTCCGACAATTTTGTTTTGTGTCCTCCACACATCAAAGGAAAAACTAAATTGTTATTTTTATTCAATTCCGAGCATTTTCATATTTATCTACCTTTTAAATCTTCCCTGGACTTCCACAAATAATTCGAGACCAAAATTAACCCAATCGGTCTAGCCGTTCTCGAGTTTTAGCGAGATTAACGAGCAGCAATTCATTTTTTATATAGAGATGTATAAACCATATGAAACACACGTTGACGAATGACTTCCACAATGAATAACATCGTGTGTCCCCGCAAAAATTATAATTCGCTTATTTACTTCTTGCAGAGCGGTCGTCTGATGAGGCCCCAAGGGTAGGTACCACCATCGTGCTTATTTCTGTCGTGAACCAGTAACGTGTTTCGGTTTAAAGGGTGAAGCAGCCGTTGTACTCTAAAAACTGAGCTTAGAACTCACATCACAAGGTGGGGGGCGGTATTTACGTTGTCTATGGAATCCGGTGACCACTTACAACCAGGTGGCCCGTGAGTTCTTCCACCTATATAATAATAAAAAATATATCTATAAATTTATAAGATTGCTTTGTAAATTTAATGATTTTGCTATTCAAAAATGAAACTTTTAGGGTACATCATTTTGTCAAGTCAGAGCAAATCGAGTCGATAAGTCATCAACGACACAATATCGACAACATACTGAAGATTATATGGCAAGTCATTAAATAACAGTTTCGATTACCGGATCCCAATATTAATAATTCCTAGATAGTATTGGCAGAAGTTTCTGTATTTTTCCATTCTTAATTATCAGCACGAGAGTCCCAATAAACTGGAGTGTCACATAACATTAATCTCCGAGGTAGGTAGCGTTTTCCGGGAACATCATTTACTTAATTATTATCCGTTTGTCATTCTGGTCCCTCGTCAGTTTCCCGGAATGTAGCGAGAACTTTTGACAAACATAATTAAAATATTTATTTGGTGTTTTAATCTTATACCTTTAAACGAGCAATTCTTATATATTAATATACATGTATATAATCAGAACCTCCGAAACGGCTCCAATGATTTTCATAAAATTTAGTATACAGGGGATTTCGGGGGCGATAAATCGATCTAGCTACGATTTATTTTCATAAAACGTTATTTTATTCGTGTTTTCAATAATCAACTCTTCCCGACATCTATTGGCGAATAATAATACTATTTTTCTTAATTGAGGGCAACTAACCGCTTTAAAGACACAACAAGATGGCGTTATCAAAAAAAAATAACCGACCAAAGCTCGGTCATCATCTAGTAGAATACTTATGCGAGAGTGTGATCGAAATCACAACATTCTGACTTACGTACGTTTTAGCATCTATTTTCTATTGAAATTCATCGTAGAAGCTAGTGAATTTTCACGCACAATGATTAACAAAAACATTTCTAATTCTAAGTTATTTTTTTTGTTAAGTTACAATAGTATTGTTGAACGTAGAGTACGCTAACTTAGAAATACAAATTTTATGAAGCAACTCAAGAGAGATTTGTGTATTTAGGACTGATACAAACTTATTTGTACTCCGCATCGAGTCAGTATTCTAGACAAAATAATATGTTAAACTAATAACCGACTTTAGTAGTACTCCATCATTGTATTTTTAAATGACTCGTTTTTTTTGTTGAAAGCGCTCGGATACGAGAAAATAAAATAAAAAAATACATTCATTTATAAGTTCTTATTATTGTAAAAATATGTTAATGTTTTTTTAGGTTTGTTTTTGGTTAACTCGCATAGTTTAGTTTCCCAAAAACATTCTTGATCGGATTAAATTCCTCCTCCTCCTCCTCGCGTCATTTCCTCACTGCCGAGGGTCGTGACCATCATGTTTAGACAGGATTTTATTTTTTACTAGCTTTAGCCCACGACTTCGTCCGCGTGGAATAGTTACTTTGGCGTATATCTATATACATATTATAGCGTAAGCTCTCAAAAGGGAAAAATATCCCGATTTTGAAACATTCTTTATTGGTGCGCCGCTTGGTCCCATTGGTCCTATTGGTCTTAGCGTGATGTTATATAGCCTTTCTCAATAAATGAGCTGTTAAACACTGGAAGAATTTTTCAAATCGGACCAGTAGTTCCTGAGATTAGCGCGTTCAAACAAATAAACTCTTCAGCTTTATAATATTAGTATAGATTATGTCTTTCCAGTGTTTCCGATAATTGGCCACGTGAAGGGCTTCGTGGAATGGGGTTTCTAGTGAGGTGCGGATTTGATCGAACCAACATATCGGGCTGTAGTGTGTAACAACACGTCCTGGCAAGGTCGCTATTTGACAAGTGTTTTGGTCGACGGTCATTTATTGACTGACTTACTACTTATTGAATACAAAATACAATGTATAACTCACACTACAACTAAAGTAACGTGTTGTTACACACTACAGGGCTGCGCCTGCACGATCTCTTTCCTTTATCTTCCCTGTCTCTAAAATACTAGGTGTTTTATGAGCAATATGAATTATTGTTCGGAAAAAATCTGATATATGTATAAACTAAAATAAAAAAAATAATTATAATTGAAGCCAAAGGGAGCTCCTGAATGAGCATACGACCCGCTGTTAAGTGGCTACCGGAGCCCATAGACATCGTTCATTCCACCACCTTCACATATGTGTTCTAAGTCTCAGTTCTAAAATACAACGGCTGCCCCACCCTTCAATCCGAAACGCATTGCTGCTTCGTGGCCAAAATTATCAGAGTGGTGACACTTAGCCGTGCAGGTTAACAAGACACCTTATAACTAGTATTAATAGAGTTTTATTTTAATTGTGAATGTAGTTTTCTCGTGTCTGTATTTTCAATAATCATAATAGAGAAGAAATGTCTAGTTTAGGGCCTGTTGTTTGTGGAACGTATACATGTGTATATATTAAGTCTATTTGAATTTTCACAAAACGTTTTTTTTTATTGTTTAGATGGGTGGGTGAGCTCACAGCCCACCTGGTATTAAGTGGTTACTGGAGCCCATAGACATCTACGACGTAAATGCGCCACCCACCTTGAGATATAAGTTGTAAGGTCTCAGTATAGTTACAACGGCTGCCCCACCCTTCAAACCGAAACGCATTACTGCTTCACGGCAGAAATAGGCAGGGTGGTGGTACCTACCCGTGCGAATTGACAAGAGGTCCTACCACCAGTTTTTATGTTGCTATGTAGAATCTCACGAGCCACGGCCGTCCAGAAATAAGAACCAGAGTGGATATACTCTTACATTGTATAGTAAATACTAGCATTCACGTTGAGATATAAGAACAATGTCTCAATTTTATTTTACGCTGTTTCCCCCTTCAAACTTTTACTGTTAAATACTTTGCAACAGTATTTAGGCAGTAAATAGCACACGCCCGACGTCTTACTCATTAGGCTACGGACGTTTACATTACGGGCTATTGAAAATAATGTAACTTTACCCCGTTAGGTAGGTGTTTTAAAAAATTAGATGTAATTAAATTTTGGATAGATAAAAACGTGTTCAATTTTGTTTGTTTACTAGATGCGGTTTATAGGATCGGTCAAGAAAGAGAAAAGGCCGTGAATAGATAGATAGCAGTATAATTTATAACTAGTTAGGTCATAAGTATTGTCACACAGTAAAAACTTTTCTTTTAGAATGCTGGACACAAAAAAGTTTATTGAATTCGAATTTCGAATTGTTCATGAAAATAAAATTTAGAATTTTACTCATTTTTAAATATGGAGTGGACGCTTAAAGAAGACCGTGTTGCAGTTATTGCGTTGCATCGTTGCGGTTACGCGCCAATTCAAATTTTTAACATACTGAAAAATTTGAATATAACCAAAAGATTCGTTTATCGTATCATCAAACGATATAATGAAGACTCTAGTGTAGATGACAGGTCAAGAAGTGGTCACTTTCGGTCTGTTAGGACTCCAGCAGTGATAAAAGCTGTGAAGGCGCGAATTCAAAGAAATCCCAAACGTAAGCAAAAACTGTTGGCCCTTCAGATAGGGTTAAGCAGAACCACGGTGAATAGGGTGTTAAATGAAGACTTAGGGCTTCGGGCACATCGAAGAAAAACAGGACATCGTTTGAATGCTCGTCTAATGGACCTGAGACTGAAGAGATGCCGCGCTTTGTTGAAGCGGTACGCGGGAAAAAAACATCGGGAAATTTTTTTTTCGGATGAAAAAATTTTTACCGTAGAAGAGATCTACAACAAACAAAATGATAAGGTGTACGCACACAGTAGTGAAGAAGCGAGCAGCCGTATTCCGCGTGTCCAACGAGGTCATTTTCCATCCTCGCTCATGCTATGGTTGGGAGTTTCTTATTGGGGCTTAACAGAGATACATTTTTGTAAGAAAGGTGTAAAAACGAATGCAGTTGTGTATCAAAATACAGTCCTGATGAACCTTGTGGAACCTGTTTCTCATACCATGTTCAATAACAGGCACTGGGTATTCCAACAAGATTCGGCGCCAGCTCATAGAGCGAAGAGCACACAAGACTGGCTGGCGGCGCGTGAAATCAACTTCATCCGGCACGAAGACTGGCCCGCCTCCAGTCCAGATTTGAATCCGTTAGATTACAAGATATGGCAACACTTGGAGGAAAAGGCGTGCTCAAAGCCTCATCCCAATTTGGAGTCACTCAAGACATCCTTGATTAAGGCAGCCGCCGATATTGACATGGACCTCGTTCGTGCTGCGATAGACGACTGG